AGTATCTGGTGAGTTAGTTTAGCGGTCTACCATTTTTTTCATAGGGTAGATTAAGACTTGAGTGGCTTCGATGTGAAAATTAACTCTCATTTTTATTAGTTTTCTTTTGGGTAATCATTTTTTCTGTTTGACAACTTAATCTAATCTATGTCCGGGTACGAATAACCAAAAGTATCCATTCATTTGTATTCAAATCTCTCATAAGGTTACAGAAAAAATTCTCATTCTCATTCGATCATACGCAATATATTATCACTATCTAAATCCAAATAACTCACTTATAATTAAGTACCAAAACAGAGAACATTTGATATACTAAATTACCCAAGGGGCTTCGCTCATTCTAGTTTCTTGTTTGGATCAATTCTACTTGGTAAGAAGATAAGCGTTAACCAAAAATATTATTGTTCCATAAGATACAACCCAACTTTTTGTGTTTAGTTGCAACAACTCTACTGAATAAGCCAGGTCAGTTAATTCCACGGGAAGAGTGATATAATACCTACCTCGCTATAGTGACACTAATCACTAACACCAAACTCACGCGTCAACACTAGTTAATTAGAGATGTGAACGCATGATAATATTCGCTTTTTTCTAGTAACTAGACCTTTGGCCCAAATTTTTCTAACGTTTTGCGAGAAGGTGAAATCGAACTTTCGTACTAAAACATCATGATCCAGACGTGGCTTTGATCACGCAATTGCGCTAGTGATCCGAGCTAACACTCGCTCGTTTATGTGTCCACCGCAAACAATATACATCGACTACTCTTGCAAAACTAATTATATGTCCAAATATCAAACGTGTGTTGTATATACAATTCTAAAGAAAGAGAATGGAAACAATTGTAGAAACAAAGAGAAAAAACCACTTCCACTTGGCTTCGGATGCACCAGAATTCCTAGGCGGCCGCAACATCTCGTGCCTGCTCGTATCGATTTCAATCGGAAACCTACACGAACCTCGCGAGGGATCAATCTTAGTAACAAACCCAAGATTTTTAAAGTCACACGAGCCACGACGATGATCCATCCTCTGAAAATACATGTTAAACGCGTAAGACGCATTCGCGGCCGGGTCTAAGGCCGCGCAAGAAGATCCGGGCCCTAGAGAAGTGCAATCAGCCAGCTGGCAAGCGTACGTGGCGGACTCTGCCCACGTGGCAGCGCCGTTCCCGACCGCCTGAGGAGAGAGCACGCACCACTCACGTGCCTGATAACGCACACCTTTCGCCGGAACTAACTGACGTCCGTTACCGAGGCTTAACGGATACTTAACGGTGCCGTCATAAGAGAATATTCCCCAATGTCGTTCGAATTTTCCGGGATCGATGCTTTTGATGTCTTCGTCTACAAGAGAGAATATGTAAACCTCCGGCGCTGTTCTCCGGCGAGGCGTTCCTTGTCCTTGAAGGATCCGATTCAATAAGCCTTGGTTGAATCTCTGAGCCATCGCCGGATTCGCGTTCTGATCGCCGTCGGTGGGCCATCCTACTTCTCCGACGATGATCTCCACTTTGTTCGCATCGAATCCGTTTTTCTCTAGCGCCGAGACCAGAGTGTCGAAGTTCGCGTCGAAGACGTTCGTGTAAGTGATTGATCCGTCGACGACGGGCTTAGCTCCTCCGCCGGGTGATCCGTTTGGGAAGAAAGCGTATTCGCGCGGGAAATTTGGATCGGCGTTGAGAGAGAGGAAAGGGTAGATGTTGAAAGTAATTGGTGAGACGGAATCAGCAAGAAATCGGACGATGGAGACCATTAGCGTTTTGATGTCGGATCGGAAATCGCCGGAGGAAGGGAGACCGTCGCCGGAGTCGTAAACGTCGGCGTTAAGAGGCACCGTTACTTTGACTTGCCGGCCAAGACCGGCTTTCACCAGGGCTGCTTGAACGTTCTGCAGCGCCGGGAATGTTGAAGGGACGAATCTGTCCTTGTAGGTCTTCAAAAATGGCTCATTCCCCACGGCTACATATCTGCCTCAACGATTAAAAATCCAATCTTTAGAAACTTTAATTAGCTAAAAAATCCGATATTTAGCTTAAAAGTCCAATCTTTAAATGTTAATGATCTTAAAAATCTCATCTTTAAAACCTTGAGCATGTTTGAAGCTTAAAAGTCCAAGCTTTGAACCCAATTGAAGTGCAATGCATATTACCTTATGTCTGTTCCATATTTAGAGATATACTGAGAGACGTTTTGTTGAACCCAAAGCTCTGCGGCGGTAACAGTAGATGCCATAGTTGCCAAGAGATCGTTGGGGATACCGACCATAACCGAAATACCGGACTTACCAAGAGCCCTGAGTGCACCAGCGTCAGCTTCAAATAGCTTAACCTTGTTGAACCCATTGTCTCTAAGGAGCTTCACCACTATGTTTGGTGGCAGAGGGTGGCTCGCTTGTGTCCCCCAGTTACATGCCAAGCCCTCTACATCCTTGAATATGTTGTGAAATAGCAATAACGAGAGACACAAGAAAATGAGTCTTTGGTATGTATTATAATGACCCATCTCTTTAAAAAGCGGAGATTTGGATTGGAAAATTAATCAAGAGTGTGGGGTCTAATGAGAAATTGTGTGTTTGTGTGTATATATAAATATTGACAGAGACATAGATTTAGGAGGGAAGATGAGTATATGGAAGAAAGAGGGGAAAGGAAAGGTATTAGTGATAGTGGATCAATAAGGAACTTGATTCCATTGGAGCAAAACCTCAATCCAAACCATCCATGCAAGGATTCCATTGGAGCAAAAACAAACATATTAAAATATTTCACATGGTATAGTAATCGAACTGTAAGATATAACTGTCCATATACGCATAAGGGATTAATCATAGATAAGTAAACATACAAGAGAGAGAATGGAGAAGAAGAAAGGGATGGAGTGTGTGAGATGGAGACCATGCTATTGGGTCTTTCTTAGAGAATATTTAACAAGAAAGTTTACGACCTTTTATTCTAACCCAATACAATCTTATGACCCCAATAACATAGAGAATAAAAGAAAGTAATGATTGGTTGAGTCATTGGAGATAGAAAAAAACATGATTTTATAGATTGCAATTGCATGAATTCACGAAACCATCATCTAGTAACAAATCAAACCAGAACAGAAAATGTTTTGTTTGGCATTACACTCATTGCTAGAGCCTAGAAGAGAGACTAAACATTTTCAATAGCTAAAAGCCTAAAAGCGAGTAAAAAATCTAATGGAGCTTACCTATTCACACAAGACAAGCCTCATGAACCAAAAAGTGTAGACTTTTAATTCCTAATCCCTAAGTCTCCAAGGAGAATGGTTTGGTATTAGCATCAATCGTTGGTGATGAAGAAGAATGTTGATTCATCAATCTACAAAAAGGACTATTCTCCAATCTAAGAGCCATTGTGATCAAATCCTTAAGCCCTTTTGTTTGAAACAAACGAAGCGTATTCTGAATCTTTTCCTTGAGACCATTGACGAAAACAGATTCGAAGAAGAAATCTGATTCATCAGATAACTGCGATGCGAGTTCTTCGAATCGGCTAAGATAAACGATAACAGATCCAACTTGTTTGAGACTGAGTATACGTTCCATTGCAGACCCAGATTTCAAATTATCC